GGCGCTCTTGAAAGCAACCAACAACACTGCACTGTTGTAAAATAAGTTGAGATGTATTTTAAAATAAGTTAATATTTGGGTAAAATCTTGCACTCTGTTTAAAAAAAATAAAAAATATATTATTTGATTTCAATATATATGACTCAAACTTTTAACTGGCCAAATCAAATTTAACAAAACCCCTTGAAAAGGCATCAATTAAATCAGCTGCTGTTCTTTACTCCTGGGAGCGTCTAGCCTGCCATAGAAAAATGCTGTAATGGTGGACAGTAGCCTTATTATGGCAGTATGGGCCTCAAATTTGGACGCCACATACATCCTGCAGATTAAACTTTTTCAAAGCCTTGGACATTCTTAAAAATGTTGCTTTATTGATTTAATAACAAACTTTAAAGTGATTTAAGCATCTACCCAGTCTTCTAAACAGAGGACAGTTGCTTTCCACCATTTAGGTACCACAGCATAACCCAGATCTGGACAGGGGTGGAGCTAGATGGTGGGCCAGTGGTGGCCATGATGACCCTTATCCAATCAATTGGCCACCCCTGTTCAGTGGCTGAGCCTGAAATTGTCATAGTTATGGCCAGGCAGGGATCAATGTGCACCGAGTAGTGGCCAAAAACTGAAAGGCCCCAAAACCAATCAATCTACACCAACCACATGGTACAGTACTAACAGGAAAATTACGTCTGTATTTTTCCAGATAATTGGACGGAGCCAAACCAGTTTTGGATAAAGCTTTTGCCTATAAATCTAAACACATATTTATAGGGTACATCAATTCTGCCTAAATTAAATGTATAGTTCTGAAATATATCCACATTAAATGGTTAGTTTAGTTGTTACCTATCACTAATTATTTCAAAGACTCTTAGATGACTTGCAGAGACAAATTAATTGTCCTTCACTGTCATGAAACGCAAAAAAAAAAGTTCTGAAAAGAGCATGAATTGTGTTTGTCATCTTTAATGTTCGTGAAGATCAGCAAAACTCCCGAAAATCGGGAATCTACCCTTCCTCTATCCATCTAGTCTTCAAACCCAAAGACAGTTGTTTTCCATCAACCAGGTATCACAGGAGGCCCCCAATCTGGGGGGTTTGTATATTGATGTGAATAATGAATTAATGCATTACTGTTATCAGTTTATGGTCAGTAAACTTACAATATGTTAATTAGTCAGAAGATTCCTCTTGAGGGCATCACTGCTGCCACCCTCTGGCTCAGAAGTGAACTGCTTGTTAAAGAGGTAGAACTTTTTGTATAAGTAGGAACAACAAATCCCCTGGTAGAGGGAGCCATGGCCACCCCTGGTCATCCCCTACCTCCGTCCCTGTGTTGTCCCCTACCAGGTGATCCCAGGTGGACATAATTAACAAGCAGTTCCCCTCTATACCAGAGGGGGGCAGCAGTTATATTCTCAAATGTAATGTCATAACTATTTTTACATCTTAATTGCTCATACAGTATATTAACAACAGACAACAAAAATACAGCACCTAATTACTCACATCAATATATTAGGGTTTATTATGGTAAATATAAAATTCATGCTCTTTCCAGACAGTGTTTTTGTATTTTATGGTACAGTAGAGGAAGTTGCGTGTCTCTGCAAGTCATTTTGGAGTCTTCTTTTTAATTAAACATATAAACATATATGGATTAGTATATCTGTATCAAAATATGCTGAAAAAGTATTGCTAAAAGTATAGCGGTTTTCAGAAAAGCAGGTAAGAAACACCTACGTTTTTTTGATTACTGTAACTTGCATGCGCAAGAACATCCCACCTGCTCTACCACCATTGTGTGAAAGACTCTCTCAAACACACTCCACTCTATATTTCTTTCTTCTAGCGCATTCCTCTTCTTCGCATACACTTTTAGCCATTTTGAAAGTATGCAATGAGAGCTGGAGCCCCTCTGGAGCTAAGGTACCACAGTGGGAGATCAGAGAAACCTTCTGGGCAGACAGAGCACCAGAGCGGGGGAGAGGCAGCGGCTGGCAAACATCTACTACAAAACAAAAAATGGCTTGAAGACATTATTTTCTCTGTTTTCAGTTGCGATTGAAAAAAGCTGGTCTCCACTGCCTCCTTTGATGTAGGTCATAGAAACATCTAGTGTCTGATTGGACTTCATAATGTTGATGTAAACAAAAGTTCAGATATGGCCTTCCCTATTTTGCTGGCATGGTGGCAATCTAACTTCACCCAATTTACAGAAATTGGGCCATTCGTCTCAGTAAAACGGCAACCTTTGCCTCACAGTGTACCAGAACTGCCCCTCACAAGGAAATCCTTTCCGCTAGCTTCGCTGTGTGAGCTGGAGAGAATTTACAGGAGTGTGAATATCAAGCTATGAGCGCAGAGAAAAAACATTTTAAAGTTTGACATATGGGGCGCCTCATGGTATTCAATCTGCAGGTATAAAACATTCAAAATATGCATAGAGAGTAGTTTACGTCTGTGTGTTTTAGATAAAACAGCTATCATGATTATTTTTTATGTACATGCACTAATGGCAGAATTCTGACTTCTTACAATAGATAGGATAATCTCCCCCTAGGGCCAGATGCTGAAAGAAGATGTTTAATATACCCTTCATTGAGAAAACATGGAGGTTTCATGTATTTTGTTTATAAGCAAGGGCTTTGAAAAAATGCAATTGGTCTTTATGTTGTGCTTGTTTATTCTATTGTAGGTTTATTTGAGGAATTTTCTTTAATTTGTACATATGGACCTTTCAGCCGTATTTAGCAGAGCAATTTAGATAAGAATGTTGTGACATCTCCACTGATGACAATGGGCAATTCAGAGTTGTTTACATTAGAGAAAAAAATTCTATAAAAAAAAAAAAAAAA